TTTTAATTTACACGTATTATTTGTAAAGGAAAGAGGTTGTTCAGGTTATATATTAATTTAATGAAAGTTAAAAGTGCTGCAACGTACAGCTGTAGTCGACGCAAATACAACTTCTGATGTGGCGAATCAAATCTGTTCAGTTCAGTGTTAAAGTTAGTTGTGAGAACGTGTAGTTTTGACGTGCTCAAACTTTAAGTCTTCTTCTGAAATAATAAACTAAAAACACGGAGATTACAAAATGAAGTACTGAATGAAGATAAAGGCTTTTGGATACGAATGATTTGCGGAAGAATCAAACATACAGAAGAAAATCATTTTGTGGATGCTGACTCCGCGTTCAGACTGAAAATAAATTGCTGCTATTAAACTGCGGAGGAGCTGCTGTGTGACGAGCGCATCAGGACACGGTGAATGTCAGACTGAGCAATCATGACCCGGCATAAGGTCCGTGTACAAAATCAATTATTCACTTGGAAGGTGGAGGAGACGGCCCATCTGCTGCGAGGAGCAGAGCTGGGCTGACTCACCGAGCTGCTGCTTAGCGATGGTCCAACCATGTGTTGAACTGGAACCAGGACTGCTCAGGAGCAGTACGGCCGCTCTGCTGTTGGTTTTTCATCATGTTTTTCTGTTTGATGGTTCGGGTTAAAAATCACCCGTCTTCATGTTTTGCCTTTTTTTGTGTCTCATCAAAACACCCCAACCACTGAACTAGTTTTAACGATTCACTGGATGAAAATCTGCAAAGGATAAACTTCTTTTGAGTAATCTAATTCTAGGCTGAACTGAACTAATAAACATTTGTTTATAAGTCATTAATAAATAGTGTACTGTTTAACACTTTACAATAAGGCTCCCTACTGACAATTATAAATGTTTATTAGTCATTAATAGTGTACAATAAGGCTCCCTTTATTAGTTGTAGATTTTTATAATAAAGTAATACAGTACTAATAATTGCTTAAATATGTGTTTCCAAATCATAATTGTGCCCATAAGWTACCTAGTGTGAAATGTTTAATAAAGCACCTTTTAGATGACATGTCTGTGWACAGATTTGGCTCACTATTTGGCAAGAAACCGTACAGTTTTGTTTCTTTCTCGTCCTTAATTAATGCATAATAAACACTTATTAATGATTTTTAAATGTTTTGTAGATGAATTAACTTATCTATAAGCCATTTATAAAGGGAGTCTTGTTGTAAAGTGGTACCAACGTCACTAACACATTTTTCATTATTTACACTGCAAAAAACTGTCCACCTGACAAAGTTTTAAAATCTTATATCAGCCAAAAAGTCTTTTTGATCTTGTTTTGAGACTGATTTACTAAACAAGAACTGATTGTGTAAGAACAATAATCTTGTTTTCAGAATGTGTAAGATTATTTGTCTTGTTAGTCTGAAAATTTGACTCAAATTAAGTCAAAAATTTCTGCCAGTGGAGTAAGAAAATTTTATTTGGTAAGATTTTTGAAATACTTGATTTGACTCAATTTTTTCTCATTTCAAGAATCTTACCAAGCAAAATTTTCTGACTCCATTGGCAGAAATTTTGACTTAATTTGAGTCAAATTTTCAGACTAACAAGACAAATAATCTTACACAATCTGAAAACAAGATTATTATTCTTGCATAATCAGTTTCTGTTTAGTAAATCAGTCTCAAAACAAGATCAAAAAGACTTTTTGGCTGATATAGGATTTTAAAACTTGGTAAGATGGACAGTTTTTGCAGTGTAGCTCACTTTTTGAGTGTTAAAAATGTTACCTGGGCTCAGAAAGAATGACCCGCCCTACTCTGCTCTGATTGGGTAAAACCATGACTATGGTTCATGTTATTTCTTGAAAGCCACGTCAGTTTACCATAATCCTAAGTTATCCACTTTCAACAAATGTTAGTTGTTTTTTTAAACAGTTAAAATCAGTTGTGTAATTTGGGAACTTCAATCCCCCAAAAAACATTCAAGGACTTTCAAAGACAAGTGTAATTTTTTGGCTGTTTTTAAACTTTCCAGGGCCTTGAAATGATTTTTTAAAATTCACAAACTTTTAAGAATTTCAAGGACCCGTGGGAACCCTGCTCACCGTTCTCTGTGAGAAGAGTTGTGTGGGATTGGTCTGAAGTTCGTGGGCGTGTTTATGCTATACGCGCTCAGACGCTGCATTTTGCTTCAACCACTTGCTTCCGAAATGCGACTGTTGCAACCAGAAGCAGACATTTATAAAGATCAGCAAAAGTTAAAAAATAAAAAATAAACATGAATGGAGACATAAAAAAAGACGTTTTGCACAGAGGAATCCAGTTCGACTTCGGAGGGAGTAGAGGCCCTTCGTTGCATTGGAGAACTAGCGGTTGCTATTGTCGCAGGATGATGACATCATAACATGAGCCGAGCACCAACAGCAAAGGCTGTGTTCCATTCCAAAATATCTAAATGTCAACTTCAACATTTAAAGTTTAATACATATTTTTTAACATTTAAATTTAACATTTAGCAAAAATTAGCTAAGAACAGTGAGCTAAATGACAAAAAGTTAATAGAAAATAAAAAGTCAAAAAGTGAGCAAAATAATGAAAAATATGTGATGAGATACCAAGTGTAAAATGAAATATTAAAACATTGAGCATGAAATCTTGTGATGAGTGTGCACATTATCGTTTTGACTAAAATGGCTACAGCTGTCGTTTCATTCCTCAACGTAAAACGATGCAGTTTGAAACGTCTGAATGTGGTGGATCAAATGCACTCTTTCAACTAACGGGAAGCCTTTAAATTAAAATGTTAAACTGTAAGAAACTGAGCGGCAACTGCAGGTTGTGTAAATAACACGCTGGTCATGGAGAGACTCGAATAAATAAAAGTGAGTTGAGCACCCCTTGCAAATTCTTCCAATGTCAAACAAGTTTAAAACCCCCAAAAGACACCACTTTCTGCAAACTAGACACTTAAAGCTAATCCTGGAAAAGCTGCTGATTTAATAAATTGATTTTTTTTGTTTGATTTCGTGTTCAAGCCTTTAATGTCTGTGCAGATTTTCTGACGTGCAGAAACACATTTTTTCCCACTAAATTGCTATGAAAGTGTACTAACTCTGGTGCTACACTGCCCCCTACAGGATGAGGTGAGTCCTGCAGCCCAACAAATTTCTTTCAACGCATGTAGTTATAAAAGTTTAAAAATAAAACATTTACCACCAGTGGATACCTAAATTATCAGGTTTAAATCTAAAATACAATTTACAAATTCAATTTAAGCTCACCAAAGACTTTATTTTCCATGACATCTCAAAACAAACTATTTTTTTTTACTGAATAAAATTGTGATTTGCACTAATGAATTAAATAACTAATGCCATCTGTTTAAAACACTTCTTTTCTTTTTATAAATAATGTTTAATAACATGAAAAACTAAAATCTATTTCTATTCTAACCAAAAGGATTAAATATAGAGCTGTGCTGCCATCCTGAGGTAGAAATATTAACATACAGCTTCATGAAACGAGGAGCCACTGAAATACTGGGGGATAATGGTTTTGCCTGTTAGCGAAATATCTCACAGATCAGAGGTCAGATTTTAATAAAACCCTTAGAGAGAAATCACTGGATGAACTGCTTATTCAGAATGGCTGCAACAGCTCAAATAAATAATAATAAACACAAAAACAACTGTTTTCTACTGTAGCAAAGTTTTACTGAATCATCATCAAATAATCCAGAAAATAACCTTATAGAAAATTACATTTGAGTCGTCTCAGTGATATATTTTTCCTATTGCTTTTTGCTGACCATCAGTAGTAACTATACTGCAAACATTTGTCTTTTTATTCAAAAAAATATATATATGTATGAGTCTACTTCCTATCTACAGCCGTAACTGTGCTACAGACTTCTTGAACAATTACACCGAGCATAAATACTGACAACTGCTACAGTAAGACGTGAAGCAGTCGGTGTCTGACAAAAATAAACTACAAACAGAACTTGAATGAGACGTAATGACTACATATAGTAAAAATAAAAAATACAAATAAAGGTAAATGTCAATACTTCATCATGTGCCTCACTTTCCATCTGTACAAAATCTACTTTAAAAAATATTTCGTAGGTTTCCCTCCAGTGCTGCATGACTGTAACGTGTTCATACCGTGACATTTCCAGCGTTCCTACATGACACGTGTTGAATACATTCATTTACATAAGGCATGGGGAGGAAAAGGTCAAATCACAGTCCAGCAACACAAATCCAGTGATCCCAGTTTGACAGCAGGTAGCCAGAATTCACTTTTGGCTTTTTTACGCACAAATTAGATTTCAAAATAAAAGCATTCCAGTTACTGATGAATAGACTTTATGGATTAAAAATAGGTAAATAAAAAGTTAATATTTAAAATGACAGACTTGGATAAACTGATTGTTTTGACTCCACTTTGTGATTTGTGAATTAAAAAATTCAACAACCCAAATAAAGAGAACAAAAATATGATAAAACTTCATAAACCATGAAAA